ATTGATATACCAAATGACACAATTTTATGATTGATAGAACTTGATAATGATCAGAAACCAGTTGTACACAATATGAGAAGAAGAACTCTGATACAAAAAAAACACAAGGCAAAAGAAGATTGTTCATGAGAAAATTTTCTTTGAAACTTTTAAAACTGTAATAGTTGTAAAGCAATTTTGTGGAAGTAAAGGAGAGAGAATGGAAAAGAAAGGCAAAATTCAAAAAAAATTTATGTTCAAAATCACAAGAATCATAGCAAATCTAATGTTAAGAGCAATGATTGGTCTGTTTTACTGAATCTTATGATCATTAGTTTAGTTTTATTGTTTATTTGTATTGTCTAATATATTGAACATGAACTATTTCAGTAATCAAATGTGTGTTTTAATTGTTTCTAATTTTTAATTGTTTTCATTTTTTTACTAATACAATTTATAAACATAAATAAGGGGTAGTTATGGGATAAAAGTTTCATCTCTCTCCTTAAAATACCTTTTTAATGTCACTTTTTCTGATTTGGACTAATTTTGTTACTAAAACATTAAACTCAGGGGAAGTTTGTGTAATTTGACAAACCTCAAGGGAGGCTAGTGAAATTGTTAGAACATGCAGGGAATGTTTCTGAAATTATCCCTTTAGGAAAAGGAATCCAAAGTTGCTTCCAAATTATAAGTGGTGGCAAAAAGGAAAATCTTACAAACGGATAATAAATTGAGCAATGATTGGGCCTTGGTCCAATGATTAGGGAGAGGCTATTAAAACTCTCTCGTATACTAGGTCGAGAGGTTTAAACTTTGCCAAATGCATTACGAGGAAGTGTAGTGCTTACTTGTTCTTAAAAAACTAGAGGTACTTGAACTGTGCAAAGCACAGTTTGGGCCCCCTAGAAATTTAGTCGAATGCATAGCATCAAATTATTTTGCCACATGATGAATGAATAGAAATATAGGAGAAAAATTGAGCATCAAAGCAATTAAAATTGACAAATATTATTTGAACTCTCATTTTTGTTAATCATACTTCCGCTATTATTTTTATCATATAGCTTTTGTTTATTATAGGAATAGAATTAACAAAATATGGAGAATAAATAAAATTTCTCTCAAAATTTGTTGTAAAGAGAAATCCCATCTATGAATTCGACCACCCTATTTATTGTGATTTGAATAAAGATTTTTGAACCACTATTATATGATACCCAAGAAGGAGAGAAAATTAATACACTATAAGTGCATTGATGCATTAATAGTAGTATAGTTTTAGTTAAAACTAAATCAAAAGCAGTCATAATACTTTTAGTACTTTAATAATGAGAAAAATTTTAGGAAGCTGCTAAAACATCGCACAATCTTCAACATCAATATAGCTTACTATAAACTTTTATATTTTTCTTTCATTTGATAGAAGAATCTAGTTCATCTATTTAAATTCCGCCTAAAGGTAATAACATTATCCTGCAGCTCCAGAATATAAATAGTAAGATTAGATAAAAATATGAATTGCTATGTTTCCTGATCTACATATACAAATTAGAATTGAACTATTTTTTATTGCAAAACCATCTTCCTAATCAAAATTGAATTTTCTAACAATTTTTTGTCAAGTCATATTCTAGGCTGAAAGCCTCAATTGTGACTTCCACCACTGACTGTAATCCTTGTATACCAACCCAATTGATACTACAACACTTGAGTACTTAAAAAACAAACAAAAATTAACTTTATTTTAAATATATACAAAATCTTATTGGATCCTTCAATTAAATTGAATAGGCCATAAAGTAATTGCAATAAGAAAGAAATGGAGAAAAACGGAGGTACAAGAATGCCTAGCTAGATTTATCTTGGTGGAAACATCACATGATATATCTTTCTCCTAAAAAAATACACAAAATTGTAGATAATTACAAAATGGAACCAAAAAAACAAAGCAAAGGAAACAAAATGTGAAGTCAGAAATCAAATCATGGGAGGAGAAAATAAAAGAATGAATTTTTGTTCTATTATTCATAGAAAATGATCATTGGTATAAAATGAATTCTAAGATATTTTAATATTTCACCTTTTATCCATAAAGAACTACCAAATAAAAACATCATCCTATAAATTTAACAAACAAATGCCAGTTGGCTATAACATTATGATAAAAAAAATAGAGCAAACATGAGAGATTAGAGATGAAGAAAAAAGGAAGAAAAGAAAATGTAAAATGGGATAAAAATAATAAAGAATTCTTTTTGCTAAGTAGCTATCATCTTGACAAAAAAAAAAAAAAAAACATGGCAGCAATCTTAGTTAGATTAGTTTTAAAAAATAAAAAATAAAAAAAGTGAGGGATGACATTAGTTACTGCAAGAAGAAAAAGAAGAGATGGAGTTGATTTTCTTAAGGAGAAAAAATATTTTAATCCTTTAACACAATTGGATCAAAAATGGGAAGGAAAAATTTAGGTAAAATAATCAAAGGTCCACTTGTCAAAAATATATGCATTACATGTGTCAAAAAGATGGTTAGCTACAGTAACTTGAATTTTTTTTTATATACAAGGTAGATCTTACTGCACTTGTTTGGTCTGGTAGGCTAGTGTAGAAGTTCCGGTGCTTTTTTAGACTCCCCTTCCCTATAGCATAGGGTAGTGTAGAAGTTCTGATGGCTCATCTTAATGTAGAAATAGAGTAAATGTTCCTGCTAATGACCAATAAAAGAAAGATAATAAATTGAGCCATCTCACATGAGTCAACTTAGTGTAGTTTAATTGGCTCATCTAAGTGAAGTTTAAAATTTTGAACTCCTAATTATCCAAACATATCTTAGTGTATTGTGCGTTTATCTTATATGTAATGACTACGGTATCACAGTTACACACGTATGACATGTACACCATATTTTAATTTAAAATTTAAATTCAGTTTAATTATCATGCATTCACTAGTGACAAAATATACGTGGTCAATGTTAGAATGCTAATCTATGTATACAGACTTAAATTCATAAAATTTCCAGTGATATAGTTATAATTTCATAAGGACCGGTGTTTCGACACAAAATCGAGATCAAATTTATAAATTTAGATCATAAAAAGATTTGGAATAACATGATTGGGAGCTCACAACTATGACTAAACCTACTATAGTCTTCTTTGGAATGTAATTTTTCACCAAATTTTTTTTAAATATTTTTCAATCACTTTTTTATTTTACATACATCAAGTCACTATAGTATATTTTTTCTATAAAATTCCCTAAAAATAACAATGTAAAGGGGTAAATTTTTGTGAATCCAATTACTCAAAACAAAAATAAAGTGGAAAGAATTGAAATATCAGCATCATCACCTACCTGCCCCCCGGCCACGGGGCTCGTGTGATGTCACAGGACTGTTACGGACAGTCGGTAGTCCAATTAACGGTGGGGTCCGTCGTTCGTCGTAGTCTTCCACTGGACTCTACTGCAGCGGGGCCCCAAGGGATGTGGTTTCCTAGTCGAAGCTGAGTCAGGATGGACCCCACCACCTGTAAACAAATAAAAAGTATCTGAAAAGAACAGCCAGCGAGCGAGTCCAATGCTGCCGTTGTTTGGTGGGATTGAAATTCAATCGCCAATTCACTGCAGGCAACAATGCGCAGCCCTATAACAGTGCATGTATAGTTTCATTTTCATAATCTTGGTTGGGGAATTAATTCCCTTTTAGTCCTAGTATGCAATGCAATACTGCTGTCTTGACGATCCGTATTAGTATAAATTTCCTGAGGCCTAGGGAATATTTTAGAATATTTTATGTTGGAGTTATTTTTTGTTTCTTGGGTGGAGGGTAAGGAGGGACTAGAAAAGGAATTATGACTAATTTAAGTTCTTTATGCTGATGCATTTTGGGGCAAGAATTGCTTTAGAACCCCCCAAATATCCAGATTTCGACTCCTTCAATAATAACTTAGTCTAATAATAATAATATTGGCGGAATCCACTAGCCCATTGGTTGTCCAGCCCAATGGAGTATGATAGCAGGAAGCCTGAGTTGAAAGGCTAGTTACTCTCCACAAAGCATAATCCAATCGTACCACTCACCGCATTTCGCTTGCTGAAACTCGTCCAATTATAATCAAGGACGGAGCTGTCAGTGAACTCACGGATTGAGCTGTAGACGGTACCTTTGCTGGGAAAAAGCAGATCAATCCACTTAATCACGGACGGAGCTGTCAGTGACGATTGGCCCAGGGGCCCTTGGGCCTAAGGGAATAGATAGATTGTATTACAATGAGTACAAATAGGCCGCAGGGTACGACGAAGCCCACGGGGTGGCACATGGTCGTACTTAAGGGACGAACCCGCAACGGATCTTCTGTCCCACACTCTTGTGCTATTCTCTGTCTCACTTTTTATTATATTGCTATTTCTCCTTCATAAACATCATGTTTTAGTTCTTTCTTGTTTCCTTATGATTCAATAACTATTAATTCAGTAAAAAATAAATACAACAATTTCAAAAAAGCAATATATAATAGAAAATTAAAAAATACAACAGAAAATGCATAAAAGATCTCATTTTTTATGCATTTTGATTTTTTGAGTTTGTTAAATTTTGTGTATTAATGAATTAATAGTTATTGGATCTTAAGGAAACAAAAAAAAACTAAAACATGATATTTATGAAGGAAAAATAGCAATATAATAAAAAGTGGGACAGAGAATGGCACAGAGTGTGGGACAGAAGATCCGTTGCGGGACGAACCACTGGCATTACTTAACCATGCCTTCTGCACTCAAAGGACTGCCCATTTGTAACCCATAGATTATCCTCCTACTTGGCTCATCCTTGCCCTCGCATAGCTGAAAGCTATTTTATTTTTTTAAATCCTTCCACTCCTCTCCGTACCATTCCAAGCTTCACCTGTTAGGTACAGACTTTGAACTGAGCCTGATAGCGGGAAGCCTGAGGTGAAAGCCAGTTACTCTCCACAAAGCATACTCCAATCATACCACTCACTGCATTTCCCTTGCGCCATGTCTAGCTCATTTTTTGGTTCAACCACGAGCGCCCAAAGATGGGCTAATCAGTTCAATGAACATTTAACCATATACATTGAAAATGATGCCTCCATCTTTCGTGTACCAAAAAAAGTATGCGACACAAAGCCAGAAACTTATGCCCCTCAGCAGATAGGCCTAGGAGCATATCATCACTTGAGGCCTGATCTTGATGAAATGAACCGCAGAAAGCTTGAGGCTGTCAAGATATTTTTGAAGCCGGAACAGTACCGGAATTTCAAAAGCCTAATTGTCGACAAGGTCAAAGAGCTTGAGCCCTCAGTACGCGCTTGCTACAGCAAGTACTTGGACATTGATGGCGATACTTTGGCATGGATCATGTCTATTGATGGTGTATATTTGCTTCATCGGCTGAGCACCTATAGATATAAAGGAAGTGTTGATTCGGAGGACAGGAAGTTTGCTCAGGACATTGCAATGTTGGAGAATCAAATGCCCGTGATTGTGCTCGAAGAAATATTGAAGGCTATTCAAGCTCCTGTTGAAGGTGAGGTGCAAGGTGCCGATGATGATGATGAAGCTGGTGATGGTGAGGATGAAGAAGAAGATGACGTTGAGGAAGAGGATGAAGGTGAGAACGAGGAAGAAAACAAGGAAAAAAAATTAAATCGATTGTTTTTGTCATTCTGTAAAGCACACACTCCCCTTGGCCTAACTGATAAAGCAGGAATTCTTGGCGATACCTCTAATCCTCATCTTCTGAGTTATATGTATAATTTGATTGTGAAAAATTGGTCTCTTGGAGATCAGTCTCCCGAAGTTCGTATTCTTTTAGGTTCGGCTCGACTAGGTTCGGCACTAGTCGAGGGAGCTGGTAAAGCTACACAGGCTGCAAGCGTTGCAGCTGATTTGACGGGGCAGAAACCTCTGCAACTGTTAGCTAGTTTGCCACTGCAGCAGCTTGCTGCTCTTTTCAAAGAAGATTCAAAAAAAGGAAACTCTTCAATTGAAGAGATCCATATCCCATCAGCTTCCCAACTTGATGCAATTTCCAAAGTACAATTTGAAGTCTGGCGTGAAGATTCAGGTGTCAAAATCATGGAGCTTAAGAATCGGGTAATGTGCCTCCCCGTAATTACTTTGAACACTGATTCAGAAGTGATATTACGAAACCTGGTGGCTTATGAAGTTGCCTCAGCTTCTCCTGTATCTACCCTTATACTTGCCGGATATGTGGATTTCATGTGCGGCATTATTGATACTGCAAAAGATGTAGATTTGTTCAAGGAAAAAGGAATCATAGAAAGCAATCTCCTGAGTGAAGAAATCGCAGAAATCTTCAATGGGATAAGCAAATCTAGCAGTCAGCGTGCCCTTCCTGAATTAGAAGAGGCTACTCAGGATTTGAATAGGATTTATGACAGCACTTTCACAGTCAGAACTTGGAGATTCATAAGAGACTATTTGATTCCATCTGTCAAACTCTTTTTTGCGATATTGGTGCTTTTGCTGCTCACAGTACAAGCAGTTTGCCAGGTTTATGGCTGCAGTGCTAGTTGGCTTGGCAGGGTCAGTTCTATATGATCATTATGGTTTTACAGAAAGTTCTTGTTTGCCTTCGGGTTTTGATCTTAAAATTAGAATTTCGTGTTTGTCAATTTGAGGAGGTGTTAATTAATTGTTTGTTTGGATTGTAAGTTATTTGGGATTATTTGGAATATTTTTACTGTAGCATTTTTTGTGATGTGACATATGTGAGATAAAAAGGTGTATTGAAAATTGTAATGATGATGTAAGCAAATAAAACTGGGTAAATAATGCTCAATCCAAACAAACTCATTTAATAATTGTTCTTTTGACTACAACCTAATGATAAGAGTACTGGTTTGGGAAAATCTTCTTTCTTTTTCTGTTTTTCAACGCAAATATATTTTTTTTTATGCATCAAACTATATATCTCTTACAGTATTAATGAAGCAAAATAGCATACACAAGCACAAATTTTGATTCGAAATTTTTCTTTGAGTAAAATATACTTAAGCAAGTTTTTCCGTAACGCTCTTGTGATTTCAAAAGATATACATAACCTCTCATAATTTGTACTATAATATTAAAGTGATGAAAACAATCTTTTATTGTGACACATTTATATCATGCAATCGAAGAAAGAAAACCTAATTAAACTAATAAGTTTGAGACGTCGGGCACCCTTTTTCCTCGTCTCATTTAATCTAGAAAACCTTTCTTTGGATCAAACTATCTAACATTGCTACCTAAATCATAAATATATATATACTAGGTATTCTGCCCTGACGCTATGCGTCAGGTAGCTAGGACTTAGTATTTTATTATAATGAGCATGAGTTTGAAAAATTGGAGGGCAGAGAGAATTATTCAACCGACAGGAAAAGTCAGCAGGGAAAGGTTAGGCCGTGGCAGTGGTTTGCATTGGTGTTAGCCAGGTGTTTGTTTGCAAACAATGCACAGTAACTCATCAAAGGTGCACTGCCGAGAAATGTTACTTTTAATCTCCTTGACCACGGATCATACAGTTTTTTTTTTAATCAAGCAGTTAGTATTATCACATCAGTAGACCTTAGCCTTATTGCCTATTAATCAATTGCTTACTTTGAAGAACAAAAACACCGTTGCATACCAGCCAAGACTTTTGCAGTTGTCTAACGTCATTTAGGGGAGTTATAATCATGGACCTAACGATTGAGTAGCTTTAGGGGCCTGATGTTCGTGGACTTGATAAGCTTCTCCTCATCATCGGTGTCCACCGTTCAACTCCATGCGGGTGGCGAAGTACAGGGCGCAGCTCCTTAATTCCATGAGCAAATTGGCAGTTCTCTCCATAGGGACATTCCCCGGTCTCTTGCCATTTGTTACGCAACTCGGTTTTGAACATTCCCTGATTGCAGACCTCCAGCTCAACAGTTTGCTTCTCCTTTTCCCTTCCTGGAACATACACCCTTTGCTGCTGCACTCACACCATCGAACACGTTACCCAACAATCATACGATCAGGGCATTAGCTACCGCCGGATGATACTGAGCCAAAACACCAGACATTTCCTAGAGCCCTTCGTTTTGCCTTTAGTATAAAATATATTCCTGATTCATGCGACTCATAAAGAAAGTAGTGGGAAAGCATAAACAAAATAAATCTGAAATGGAAATTAGCATGTGATGAATTCTAAAGAAAATAAATCTGGAAAAGAGATTCACCTTTGTATTGCGATAACAATTTACTTAACCGATCAAAACAACACTCGGTAAGTTTTCATGTCTCTTAGTGAAGTCTAAACAGCTTCATTAAAAAAACGAATGAACACATTGATGAGTCAGGCCAAATGGTTTACAGATTCCCCTATTTCTCTTGTCTTCGTTAGCCCCGTACCCCAAACTCATCGTCCAATCCATGCAACACTGAACTCATATCAGAACCCGGATTCTCACTGCTAATTTCTGATAGGAAAAGTTTTAATGGGGTACGAAATATTATTATTTCGAGATATTTGTAAAAGCATTAATTATGCAAAGACCTGTTTTATAGTTAATTCTGGTTTAATTGCCTCTTCCAAACTTCCGTATACTCTATTCCGACCCATTCTCAAGGCATTAATCTACAGCACAGAGAAAAGGAACGAAAAACACAACTTAACATTTAATTGAATAATAACTATTACAGCTATATCAACGCAATCCATTAATAAGAAAAAGAGCAATTGTTCCCCAATTCCAGCCAAAGAAGAACAAATAAACATATCGCAAGGTTACACTGAGTAATATCCACCGCAGCTATACCTAACCCAAGTAGCAGCTGCATTAAAGCAAAGAAGTAGCAGTAACAGAAGGCATAACTACAGCAACACTATCTATCAGGAATCATCGCCGTCCTCAGAAAATTCAATACGAAAACAAGGGAAGGAAAAAGCACTGGCCAGAGAATGCTAAGAAAAGAATAAAGGAAAAAGACAGGAGAATGAGGAACGGGAAAAACACACCTGGTAAAGAAGGCCAAGAAAAGAAACAGAGGAAACAAGACCGAGAAAACAATAAGGAAAAGTAGCAGCGCGCAAAACTCTGAAGCAGTGCGCTCTGGATTCAGCTCAACTCACCGCCAAAATTGCTTGAACGCCCAGTAAAGAAAGCCAAGAAAAGAATGAACTCGCCGCCTAAATTGCCTGGACACCTGGTAAAGAAAGACAAGAAAAGAATGAGAGGAAACAAAGCCGAAATTGTTGACCGCCAAAATTGCTGCCAGCAATGACCGAAATTGTTGACTGCCAAAACCACTGGGCAGGAGTGATTTTCCAACAAAACCAGTGGCACCCATTAACAAAAGACCAAAACACCCCTCAAACTCACACAAATCACGGCATAACCGGTCCACCAGACACTGTTCACAAGCCATTCGTGCTTTATATATGTAAGATATATAAATATATATATATTTATAGGACAAAAGCCATCTAAACATTTAGTCATTAAATGTGGCCAACTGCTTCACTGTGCCACATTTACAAATTGTTAATAATCATGTCAGAGGGGTTCAGTGTTGTAACTTCAATATCTATCTAGGGTTAATATCAGAAACCTCTCTTGAGGTTTCTTCTAATCACACCTAGAACCCCTCATGTTTTCGAAATCACACTTAGCACCCCTGAAATGACAACTTTGGTATCATTGTCAGCCCCTCATTATTTTTGTTCCACTTTTACCCTCCTTGTGAACTCTATTTATATAACTCACATCCCTCCAACTTTTGTAACACTACAAAATCGTCCTTGAGCAGCGTAACATGTTTTGAACATTTTGTAATTTTATGTAAGCTTCTTGTACATCTTTATAATAGATTGCGTTTCTGTTATTAAGTTTTACAAATAATTCACATAAAGTTACACATTGTTTAAAAAATGTTACATTGATCTGAACGGAGATTAAAAAAATGTGACTATGGATTCTCATAATGGCAGCAATAGTTTCAATATATGGTTGTAGTTGTAAATAAACTTGCTCTTCCATTTTTGTGAAAATGAGGTAGTATAAATAGCTTTTTGTGCATCCTAGTCGAATGGAGTTTGTAAATTATTAATATTGCAATACCCTATTATCAAGTAAAAATGGATTGCTAATGCTATATACTCATGAATTCCCATCATCTTTAAACTACTTCTAGATTATGTTATTATTCACTTAGAAATTGCAATTTTGGCAATGGCACTATGTCCATTGCCAAAAGTCAACATCACTGGAAACTCCATAGCTATTTAATATTAGGGAGTGGGATAGGAACAATTGTTAGATCAACCATCCCTAAATCGTGTAACATTTTTTGAACATTTTGTAATTTTATGTAAATTTCTTGTACATCATTACAATAAAAGTGTGATAAGTTGTTAGTGTATATATGAGTCCAATATGTAATAATCGTATTTGTGTTGATAAGTTTTACAAATAGTTCAATTAGAATTACACTTTGTACAAAAAATATTACATAATTACATAATAGTTTTACATAATTTAGGGAAAACCTCAAGGGAGGTTTCCGAAATTAACTCTACATAAATAGAGTTCACAAGGAGAGTAAAAGTGGAACAAAAATAATGAGGGGCTGACAATGATACCAAAGTTGTCATTTCAGGGGTGCTAAGTGTGATTTTGAAAATATGAGGGGTTCTAGGTGTGATTAGAAGAAACCTCAAGGGAGGTTTCTGATATTAACCCTATCTATCTAACTATATAAAAGCGGGAGTTGGATAATGAACGGTCATTTTTTTGTCAAGCGGTTATAACGTAATTTTCAGCAACTTTGAGGGCAAATTTGTTGGCTTCCATTCTCCGCCCACCGTGCAAATGAGCTTCCCCTTTGCCTTGACGTCATGTGCAACAATCCCTATTCCTTCCTCATCCTCACTATCATCAGATGGAACGCAAATAAACCTTCCTATTTTACAGCTTCATGTACAAATTCATCATCCTCTGAATCGATCAACGCCACGTTAAGATCAAAGCCACGCAATTCATCAGTGCAAGAACTTATTAATCCTTTGCAAATTCAGTCCAAATAATTAAAATATTATTTTTGAGAGTAAAATTAAAATTTTGTATCAGATTTGACCTTTGTGCTACATGTCCAATGAATGACAAAATACTACAAATTAATTAAAAATTAATAAACTTTAAGGGGTATAGTTTATGGACAAATATACATTACCTATTTAAAGTATCGGCTCTTTATGGGTATTTTACTGTCAAACATTTAATTTATGATAAATATATCAATGTTTGTAAGTAAAATTTAAAAAGTGCTACAGTAACATTCTTACAAAAAGAAAATCGGCAATAATACATGACTCTTAATGTGGATTAATGATCTAATATTAGTGAGCGGCATTTTACAAAAATATAAAAGAAAAATAATTGTTGTGATTGTATTGATTAAATATTTTAATTTGTGCAAAAAAAAGAAAATAGGCTCATATTTATGGAACTTAGTGAGTAATAGAAATATACATAAATATAGATGGGTATCTTTATAATTACCTCACCCAGACCACATAATTTATACAAATCATACCACACAAAATGTCGACACTGCATTGTCTCAATTATAGTACTTTATTAACCATTATATTACAAAATATCCTCCATACTATACAAACTATTAACACTATATTCACCCAACTAATTTAACACACTATTATTTTATAATTTAAGTCAGACTTATAACAATTATATGATTCTCTACATTATAAGAAATATATAACGGCAAAAAATTAAGCAACTTAATACGGGAAATATTAGCACTCCTACGCAACGCACAGCCTGTCTCACTAGTCTAATCTAACTATATAAAAGCGGGAGTTGGAAAATGAACAGTCCATTTTTTGTCAAGCCGTTATCACGTAATTTTGGGCAACTTTGAGGGCAATTGTCAAGCGGAATTTTGGTCTTTTGTCATGTGGCTGGCTCTGGCTTTAGGAAGATTCCGTTAAGCATCAGAATTGCCGATGCTATTTCATTGATTCTCTTTTGCTGGAAAAAGACAACAATTATTAAGATGCCTCTTGGCATTATATTTCAATAAAAAAAGGTCTGGCTCTGGCTGAGGCTTGTTAGCTGTATTATTGTGCTATGTGGGCTACAGGGGCTAGGACTCACAAAAGAGAGCTGTACCTGTACGTTCTCTATTGCAAGTAATACTACAGGCCTTGTTTTAGAGCTCTGCCATATGCCCTTTTATCTTCTCCAATATCAACCCACCCCGGCCCGCCTCACCAAGAAAACCAGAAAAAAAGAAAAAAAAAGAAGAAAATCTCTCCCAGGCTCTCCAATATATATATATATATATATATATATATATATCTGCAGAGGCCTGTTCTGGGCCCGACCACGTGGCAGCCCAGCTATGGCTGAGCTGGGCCTCGGCCTTCGGCCCTTTGACAGTCGCCCTGGGTCGCCATACCACTAGGGTTTCAGAGGAGCCAGGGGGCCGTCCCGGGAGGATCGGAGGAGATCCCCCATAGGTCGGGGGTTGGGAGCTATACTGGGCAAGTCCCGCACCGTGCGGAGGTCGGACTCTCTCGACAGATATAAATAGTAACTTTCACCACTCTAACAAGGTACGCAAAATAACACGCAGTATACCCTCTGACTAAGTTACTTCCCGTAAACCCTACTCATCGGAAAACTAACTTGACCGTCGGAGTGCCCTCGGGGACCACCTCAGGGCCCCCTCGTAAGATCACCCTCGTTTGTCTTTGCAGGCTTAGGACGAGCTCTCACCATCAGCACGCCGAGCTCATCAGGTCAGCTCGGCCCGGGGAAATTCAGTGCTTTTCAGTTGGCGCCGTCTGTGGGAACACGTAAGGTAATTAAGATCGTGCTGATGGCCAGAACGCGATCCAAGCGAACGGTAGAGGGCACCGGCTCTGGAGGCGGTGAGGGATCCCAGCGAATGGAGGCGGAGGCTACTCGGGGCGCCGGGGGCTCAGCCCTTTCAGGGGAGAGGAGGCAGCAGATTTTTCAGTTCGTGACGGAGAACCTCCCTATGCTGGAAGACATCATCCGGCAGGCGAAGGAGGGGGGCGAAGCCGGGGCCGCGCAAACTTCCAAGGCCAAGGGGAAGGAGAAGGAGTCACCCCCTGACCCTTCAGAGGAGGAGTCACGAGACCAGCCCCCCAGGAGGAAACGGCACCGGACTCCACCTCGCCCACGGGCCTCGGTGGTCAGAGATAGTGAGAGATACTCTCGGGATTGGACTGCGGGAAGCCGTCCGAGAGACCTTTCCCCCCGCAAACCTACGCGGAACGGGTTGGAGCGTTCTCCAGCTCGGTCTGTCAGGAGCCGACCACGCGATCCCCTTCAACTGAAGCCTGTCCAGGACGAGCTCGAGCAGATCTTGCAGCCGCAGTTGTACGCGGACAACTACTCCACCTCGCCCTTTCCCCGGGAGATAGAGGATTACCCCCTACCCCGGAGGTTCAAGATCCCTAGTATTGAGATGTATGATGCTTCCACTGACCCGGAAGACCACCTCTCGGTCTTCCTGACACACATGCGTCTGCAAACCGCTGTGGACGAGATCCGTTGCAAGACTTTCCCTATGTTCCTGAAGGGGAAAGCTCGGCTCTGGTTCCAGGGCTTGGCATCAGGGTTTATCCGGAGTTTCTCCGATCTGACTAGGCAGTTCGTCGCACAGTTCGTCTCCTCGAAGACCTATGCGAAGAATGCCACCCACCTGATGTCTATCAGGCAGAAGCCCGACGAGTCGCTGAGAAACTTCATGACCCGCTTTAATGCGAAAAGCTTGCAGGTAAGGGACAAAGATGAAAAAGTGGTAATGGCCGCCTTCACGAACGGGTTTAGGGTAGAGGAGCTCTTCTACGAGTTGGCCAAGAAGCCCCCCGTAAACCTGGAAGAGCTCCTAACCCAGGCACACGCGGCCACTAACGCGGAGGAGGCAGGTCGCCTGAAAAAGGAATCAGATCGGGAGTTCGGAAATCGGAAGGGTCGGACAAACCCCCAAGAGGGCAAGGACGTCCCGGCCAAGAAAAACGTCTTTGATCGGCTCTCGAAGGAGAAGGCCCCTGCTCCGCCGCCACTCCCAGAGAAGACCTACACCCCTCTGACACGGCTTAGATCCCAGATCTTGGCTGTTATGGAGGCGGAAGGGCTGGGAGATCAGCCGTCCAAGATGGGGACGCCCCGGAACAAAAGGAACCAGGACCGGTACTGCGCCTTTCACCGTGACGTCGAACACGACACGGAGGGGTGCTGGGCCCTGCGTAAGGAAATCGAGGACCTGATCCAGCGCGGCTTTTTAGGGCGATTCGTACGCCGACCAGGTCATGAGCCCGGGCACAACCACTACGGAGATAGGCACGAGGGACCGCGTCGCGACTACCCAGAGCGGCGTGACGCTCCTCGGAACCACTCCCCCTACCTGGACGACCAGAACCTAGCAGGGGTGATAAACACCATCGCTGGGGGCCCCACGGGCGGAGACAGTCACACAACTCGGAAAAACAGGCGACCTCCACCAGAGGGGAATGACTCCCTCAAACGCTTGCGTATTGACGAGGAGATCACCTTCGGGCCTAGGAACGCGGTTCCCCTAGCCTCCGGGAACCACGAGGCCATTGTGATAGACGTTGTAACCAACAACTATCGGGTGAAGAAGGTATACGTCGACCAGGGGAGTGCGGTTGACATCATGTTCTACCGAGTGTTCAAAGAGCTCGGCTTGAAGGATGACCAGTTGATGCCAGTTCGGACACCCTTGGTGGGCTTCACGGGCCCACCCGTCAACCCGGCTGGAATGGTCACTCTGATGGTCACGGTAAGGCAGGCTCCCAAGTGCCGGACCATCCCCGTCAACTTCGTTGTGGTCAAATAGCCATCCCCGTACAATGTGTTCCTTGGAAGGCCTGCTCTGAATGCCCTCCGGGCTATTCCCTCTACTCTCCACCTCAGCGTTAAATTCCCCACGCCGGGAGGGATAGCCGAGATGCACGGGGATCCGGACGTGGCCAGAGCTTGCTACCTGGCCGTACTGCGGGAACAGGAGAAGGTGGTGGCCCAGACGACCTGCTTGGAACCCTACATCCCAGGGGACGAGGCTCGGCAGCTAAGCACTCCGAACGAGATCGAGGAGTTCCCCCTGAGGGAGGACCGGCCCGACCAGGTCCTCCGCATCGGGGCACGGTTACCCACCGAGGAGAAGAAAGGTTTGAAGGCCCTGTTGAGAGAGTACTCCCAGGTCTTTGCGTAGTCGGTTGAGGACATGCCTGGAATTCCAACCGACCTAGCCGTCCACCACCTCAACGTAGACCCTCGCTTCAAACCAGTAAAGCAGAAGAAGAGAAACTTTACCCCCGAAAGGAACGAAGTGATCAAGGTTGAGGTCGGTAAATTGCTGGAGTCGAAGATCATCCTTGAGATCTACTACCAGACCTGGTTGGCCAATCCCGTGTTGGTCAAAAAGGAGGATTAGACCTGGAGAATGTGCGTAGACTTTACGGACCTCAACAAAGCCTATCCAAAGGACTGCTTTCCTTTGCCACGAATTGACAGGTTAGTAGACTCTACTGTGGGTTTTGACGTTCTGTGTTTTTTGGATGCCTTTAAGGGGTACCATCAGATCGAGATGGCCGAGGAAGACCGGGAGAAGACCTCCTTCGTTACCGAAGAGGGAACCTACTGCTACCGGACCATGCCGTTCGGCCTAAAGAATGCTGGGGCTACCTACCAGCGCCTGGTCAACAAACTGTTTCAGAATCAGATCGGCAGGAGCATGGAGGTCTACGTGGATGACATGATCGTCAAGAGCCGAACCGATCCACAGCTCATCCCCGACCTGAGGGAGGTCCTGAATATCCTACGGGAGAGCAGGATGCGGTTGAACCCAAAGAAATGCACCTTTGGGGTCAGGTCGGGGAGATTCCTGGGGTTCCTGGTGTCCCGCGAAGGGATCCGGGCCAATCCGGACAAACTCCAGGCCATAATGGACATGGCCCCTCCGAGGAATGTGAAGGAGGTGCAGCGGCTCGTTGGGAGGATGGCTGCCCTAAACAGGTTCCTCTCACATTCCGCGGTCCGGGGGCTCCCCTTTTTTTCGAATCCTGAAAGAACTAAAAGATTTCCAATGGACGGAGGAATGCCAGAAGGCCTTCGCCGAGCTAAAAGCGTACCTGACCGAGCTACCCACTTTGACCGCCCCGGACCAGGGGGAGACTCTGTTCCTTTATCTGTCCGCCTGCAACGAGGCCGTCAGCGCGGTCTTGGTGCGGGAGGACAGGGGGGCTCAGAGACCGGTGTACTACGTTAGTCGCGCTCTACAAGGGCCAGAGACGAGGTACACACCGGCGGAAAAGTTGATCCTCGCCTTGGTGCACGCTGCTCGCAAGCTCCGCCCCTACTTCCAGGCTCACAGCATTGTAGTCCTGACCGACCAGCCCCTGCATCAGATACTCACCAAGCCAGAGGTCTCGGGCAGGATGACCAAGTGGGCCGTCAAGCTGACCGAGCACGATCTTAGTTATCAGCCTCGCACCGCGATCAAGGTTCAAGCCTTGGCGGACTTCCTTGCTGAGGGGGCTAGCTTGACCCTGACCGAGTTAGTCCCAACACCCACGGACGCCCCGACAGAGGACCCGTGGGTGCTGTTCGTGGACGGCGCCTCGAGCAAGGAAGGGAGCGGAGCTGGCCTGCTGCTCACCTCACCCATCGGAGAAGAGCTGACCTATGCGCTTAGGTTCGATTTCCCGGCATCCAACAACGAGGCGGAGTACGAGGCCCTATTGACGGGGTTACGGATAGCCCACCAGATGAGCATCACCACGATCAGAGTTCGGAGCGACTCTCAGCTCGTCGTCCTCCAGGTCCGCGGGGAGTACGAAGCCAAGGACGAGATTATGAAGAAATACCTGGCTAAGGTCCGAGAGGCAGTGGCCTCGTTCGGAACCTTTGAAATCGAGCGGGTGCCGAGGTCCCAGAACAAGCGTGCAGACGCCCTTTCGAAGCTGGCGTCCTCCTCATTTGCCCATCTGAGCAAGCAAGTCTTGGTAGAGGTGGTGAAGCAGAAAAGTATCGACCAGATCCAGGTCCTGGCTATAGACAGCTCGGCCACCTGGATGACTCCCCTCGTTAACTTCCTCAGCTCGGGTGCCCTCCCTGAGAACAAAATCGAGGCTCGCCGAGTCCAGCTCAGAGCTGCCAAATACGCCTACGTTAGGGGAACCCTCTACAGGAGGTCGTACTTATCCCCCTGGCTAAAATGCGTGACTCCCGAGGAAGGTGATCACGTTCTGCGCGAAATCCATGAGGGTATATGCGCGGCGCATGTGGGGTCCCGGGTGTTGGCCAAAAAGTGCCTCCTCTTGGGCTACTAATGGCCCTCCGTGTTCCGAGATGCCGCAGATCTGGTGTAGAAATGCCGAGCTTGCCAGGTGCACGCCTCGCTGCGCCATCAGCCAACTCGGGAGATGATCCCCATCCACAATCCATGGCCCTTCGCTCAATGGGGGATAGACCTCCTGGGTCCCTTCCCCCGAGCCCCGGGGAGATATGAGCACCTCGTGGTAGCCATAGACTATTTCACAAAGTGGGTAGAAGCGGAGCCCCTGGTCTCCATCTCCGGAAGGGCAATTCAGAAGTTCTTCTGAAGGAGCATAGTCTGCCGCTTTGGGATTTCGCATGTCTTGGTATCCGACAACGGCCGTCAGTTCGCCGAAAACCCCTTCAAGAGCTGGTGCGTCGAGCTCGGTATCAACCAGCACTTCACGTCGGTTGGCCACCCACAGGCCAACGGCCAGGTGGAAAATGTCAACCGCATTGTTCTGCAAGGGCTTAAAACGAGGTTGGAGCTAGCCGAGTCAAGTTGGCTGGAGGAACTTCCTAATGTCCTTTGGGCCTACCGCACCACGCCAAGGATGGCTACTCACGAGACCCCGTTCTCCTTGACGTATGGGGCTGAGGCAGTGGTCCCCGCGGAGATCGGCTTCCCATCCCCTCGGACCCAAAACTTCGTTGCGACAGCCAACGAAGAAGAGCTGAGGTGCAACCTGGACATGCTGGAGGCCAAGCGAGAGGAGGCGGCAATACGGATGGCTAAGTACAAAAGCCAGCTCGCCCGCTATCACAACGCTAAGGTCAGAAGCGTGCAGTACCGGCCTGGGGACCTTGTCCTAAGGAAAAACTTGGTCAGCCGAGCACGCACCTCCACTAAGCTCGACCCAAATTGGGAGGGACCGTACAAAGTCCTTGAGGCAAGCCGAGCTGGTTACTGCAAGCTCGCGAAGCTAGATGGAACGGAGGTGCCCCGCACTTGGCACTTCTTGAATTTGCGGTTCTTCGTATAGTAGATTAGGCCAAGATGTTTAGCATTCGGGGTGTAAGTTTCAGTTTCATCATTGAATAAAATGTAAAACTTTCCAATTTTCAATTCATTACTTGGCTGTTAAGTTCATGTTTTACACTAGCACACTCAGCGCTCCTTCACTAAGTGCCCTAGTGAGGGCTGGGGATAAGGCATGAAGTAGTGATGATGTGTTCGACCCAGGAGGTCGGCACGTTTGGGGTTGGGGGAGTTCGACGCACTGCCCTGAACGCATGGTATGCTCGACCCCAAGATGCCGGCATGTTTAAACCTTGGAAGTTCGATACTCGACCCAAGAGGTCGGCAGGAATACCCTTAAGGTTTGGTGCTCAGCCCCGAGAGGCTGGCACATTCCCTTGATGGATCTTTTCGGCAGGACTGCCCTGGAAGGTGTTCGAATCTGAGTTTGGAGGTTCAACGTTCGACCCAAGAGGTCGGTCCAAAGGTTAAGGTCTGTTGCTCGGCCCCAAGAGGTCGGCACGCCTGGACCAAGGTTGTTCAAAGTAGTGATGATCGGCCCCCAAGAGGTCGGCAGGAATACCCTTAAGATTTGGTGTTCAGCCCCAAGAGGCTGACACATTCCCTTAATGGATATATTCAGTGCTCGGCCCGAGAGGTCGGCACACGGTTTCAATAGTTTGGTTGCCTTGGGCAATTTAGCTATTCGACTAAAAAGGGGACATATTCGATGCACGACCCAGGAGGTCGGCGAATGGCAGTGGTTGCTAGAGTTGGGCGCAGGCGAGAATTGCAAGGGAATTTCCTTCAATTTATATACGCATTCAGAGCCTATCTATTACAAAGCTTCCCTGCCGCCTATCTGCTACAAAGCCTATATATTACAAAGTGTCCAAGTCGCCTATCCGTTATAAAGCCTACCGAGCCACAAAAGGAGGACAGCTCGGACCTTCTCCTTCTTGCAAGCAGCCTGCTGGGGGGCTGAAGGTACACCTTAAACATGCTGAGAGGCGTATGGTGAAGGCCACGCGGGAACCCAGGAGTGAAAGGGGCCTTTCCATCTCAGATGGACCTTCACGAGCATTTTCAACTGGAGCATGATCACATCCTTATAAGAAGACGGAAAGGGTTCCTGGGGTGGTCGCCCCTAGACCACCGGCTCCTTCCCTGAAGTCCTGCCGGGAGCCTCGTCCTCCTCCAAGGGGACCTCCGCCAGCTCGGCTCCGACGTCGGCTCGGCCTACCAGGTCCTTTAGGGCGTGCCCCTTGCGGTACCCGTCAAAGAGCCAGTCCAGCCTATCCTCGGCCGCGGGGTTGTAGTCCTTGAAGTCCGCCAAGTTGAAGCCGGGAAGGTTGAGACTCTTCACCTGGTCCAGGGCCCGCGTAGAGCCGACCTGGAGGATGGACTGGTTGAGGAGGGCGATGTCCACTTTGAACTGATCGGAAGAAATGAACTCCCGAACAGCCTTCTTCCGCTCCCGGCTTACGGTGCCGGAGAGCTCGACGGCGTGGTCCTCCCTCAACTTGGCCACGCCCGCCCTCTCTTGGTCGAGCTCCGATCTAGTGGAGACGAGCTGTACCCGAGCTGTGTCCAGCTCCTTCTCGGCCTTACCCAATTTGGCCTTAAGGGAGTCCGTCTCCTTACGGGCCTGGGTAAGCCTCTTTTCCGTCTCCAGGTTCTTCTTCCGCAGCTTCTCCAAGTCGGGAGACAGCTCGGAGAAGCGAGTCGCCAGGGCAGCCCCATCGGCGTTGGCCTGAGGAGGAGGGAAAACAGGTCAGCACGCTGCGGTACCTAATCGAAAACAGAGATGCAAAACTGACCCATGGGTTAGAAGACTTACTTGAGCCTAAGCGGTGTAATACGTGTCCAGGAGCTCGGAAGGGTCAGCCAGCTCCATCCACCTCTTGTCGCGTGGGAGGACCGAGCCCACCATCAGCTCGCGAGCCACCTCGGGAAATTGGGCTCGGTCGTTGATGGAGAGCTCCCAGGGCGGACAGAAGAGGCGGGGGTCATGCACGGTGGGGGCCTGGCCCGGCTTCAAGGGAGCTATGTGGCGGAAGTGCCACAAGCTCAGGGGAGGCGTCTCCTGCGCATGCTTCTCGGCAGAGCCTACGCCCAGATGGACTGGCCCCCCCGAGGCCAGCGTGAGCGGGGAGGGCTAAGCTGGAACCAACGCGAGTTTTTTCCCGGGCTGGGAGGGCTCGTCCCCTCTGCCCCTCTTCTGCCCGGCCGCCTTCTTCTTGTTGGCGGCCTGCTTGGAGGGGGACGGCTGCGACGCCTCTTTGTGGGGGGCTGAGCCACCCTCCGGGGTGGAAGCCCCTCTTGGGGCCCCCTGAGCAGTCTCGGGTTGGGGGGCGGAGGTGATCTCCTCAATAGGTGCGCCCAGCAGTTTGGAGAGCTTTCTCACTGCAACGAACACAACCAGATAAGCAAAAGGCAGGGCAGTTTAAAAAAAAACCACAATATACTATAAATGCAACAGGGGCAAAGCCAGCGTTACAGGTGTCGAGTTTGGGCTCGGGGGTCACCACTTCCCCAGAGGATCTGGACAACGTCCCTATCAGCCCGGCTACGGAGATCTGCTCAGTGGAGAACTTGGTGGCATCGAGCTTCACCTTGGAGCCCAACAGCTGGCTGAGGGTATAGTAGTCCAGGTCCTCCGGGTAGGAGTCGACCTTGACCCCCCCAACCTTCCACACATTGGGGGGAAAATGTGTGGATTTGACGAAGAAAAAGTCCTCCTTCCAATTCTTCACGAAGGAGGGGAGTCCGTGGAACAACTCCTGGGCACCCTTCCCTCCCTTGGTTTGGGGACCACGGCGGGAGAAGTAGTACCATCCAGGGAGGGCGGTCTTAAGGATGAAGGCGGCTCGGAAGAGGGAGAGAGAGTAAGGGATATCGCAGAAAAGGCAGTAGATCAGGAATCCAGTGATGATCCTGATAGAGGTGGGGTGAAACTGGGTGATTCTGAGCCCCCAGTAATTCAGAATCTCGGTAAGAGCTGAAGAGATGGGGAAACGGAGCCCTGCGATGAGCTGCTCCCTATAGATGGCTACGAAACCGGAGGGAGGTCTGCAGGCTCGGTCGTCGGACGGAGGAATGGAGTGAGACTTGGCCAGCTCGACCACGGCCTTGGGGGATAGGGTAGCCTCCTACAGGTCTGCGTAACCATAGGAGAACTCGGGATCATCCCCCTGCTCAGAAACAGGGGTCCCCTCAGAGAGATCCCTATCCTCCCCAGCTCCCCAGCCGGGGGAGTCTCAATAGGTGATAAAGAATAAAAGAAAATAGTGGAGTCCAACGTAACATTTGAATCTAATCCAATGGAGATGTTTTCACAATTTTCAAATATGTGTACTTCGCTTGGATTTTAGCTATTGGTTGTAGCCATTCTTTGGTTCGTGTGGTGTATGTCCATAGGCACAAAAAATTTAAATTTCCATGCGTTAATAGGCTCTAAATGCTGGGCGGATTTTGTTAGAGCATTAAAAACTACACACACGGCGAGATACCTCTGCTGAAAGTGTAGCTGTCAAACAAACCCATGTAACTGATTTATCCATATTTGTCCATGAATAGATGAGTATGGGTATTTTAAATTTTTGTATATGGGTATAAATGGGTTACCCAATAATACTCATTTATTAAATAAATATTATTGGGTAACCCATCAAATCCAATTAACCTATTTAGGATTGTTTTCCTCCAAATCTCCTCTCTTCCCCTACCCATTTTTTTTTTCAAAATTTTTATTTTGTCATGATATTAACTACTTTTGTCTCATTATTATTATTATTGTCGGTTTTATCTTATCATTTTATTTTCTCTTAGTTTGTTAACTTGCTCATTTTTCAGCATTACCAATTTATGACAAGTTTTAGCCTTTTTTCTTGCTTTTCCAAAATGAAATTTTAAATTTACATACAAAAAAATGATAGAGGTTCAAAATTTTTTGATTAAGCTTTTATGTTAACTTTCATAGTACTTAGTTCAGATTTTTATATTATCATTGTTTAATTATTAAATAGTATGTAATTTTGCGACATAGAGTACGGA